TCCATGCTTTGCGATTGGAATGGTAAAGCAATCCCAGTTCTCGACTGGACAATCCACCAAAGCAACGTGGCCGCTTCGCTTTTCCAATAAACATGGGTTCCAATTTGTCCGTGCCGTCCGCATTTGTTGCCAGAGCCACGGAAATTCGATTCTTGTCTTGCTTTGTTCCTGGCCTGGCGAGCTCAGCAATTGTGGTACGTGGCTGGCCATTCTAGAACAATCCCGTTTCGTCCATGTTGTAAACGTCCGCTGAACGGTATTCTTGTGTGATCCTTGGGATTGATTCGCCACCGTTTTCGACAACGATGTGGTCAACCGATGCCGCTTCGCCTTGAAGGCGATGCATCCTGAAGTTGTGGCGTTTTTGTAAGCGGTCAAGCCATCCATGTGAGAAACGAATTTGGTCTTGAAGGTTCATTTGTTTTGCGATTTTTAGGCCAGCGCGAGCAATAAGGTCGCCAGTGACGCACGCGCCTTTGTCATGTTCCATTTTCACCCACTCCGCAACCCTCTGGTCGAGCTCCTGATATTTGGGCGTTGTAAGTTGCTGCGGTTTTTCGTCGACTCGACTGTTATGTTGTAGGAATCCGGTGTCCGCTTGTCCTGAAGGATTCGGCGTATGGTTATCGAGTGTGGTGACTTGCCGAACTTCAATGTCACCCACTTCTCGACATGAGAGATCTTCATCGGCATGTTGGCCAAATAATACTCTTTAATTAATGCCTTCTCGTGGAATGTCAACTGCTTGCTTCGCATTTACAACTTTGCTTTTTGTGTGTGTGATTGTTGACAGTACATGTGCGGCCATTTGATTTGCCACTTCGAATTTGAAATTCAACGATTTGTACTCGTCAAACAGCCTTGGGAAACATGATAATTGATTAACAGTAAGTTGAGCAAGGTATTAATTTATACCAGTTCGCATACCTTGGGGGACTACTGTATATTCATCTCATAAAACGATGGTAATTGTGCTTTCTTGCCGACTCACACGGGCATTACATCCCACATGCGACGCCCATGTTTTTGAGCCCACCCCGTCTGTTTGAAATAGTATGTATTTTATTACATACCAAGTACTTGATAAGATAGAATAGTAGTATTATATATTAGAGACCCGGGCCACATGTTTGAGGCTTTGGGTGGGTGCAGTTGTGACGCGATTCTTCTGCCATGGGCACCGCCAACGTCCCATTCACAAATCTCTACCCACACCATGAAGGCAGCTTGCATCGCGTTGGCAGCGCTGGCGACCGCCGCCCACGCCCTGGACGTCAAGTTGTCGGGTATCAACTACAACCCGCGCAAAGGCGCGGACTGGGACGCGGATGACGCTCGTTGTAAGTCTGTCGACGAAGTCCGTGCCGACATGAAGTTGCTGGCGGCTATCACGTCCAACATTCGACTGTACAGCATGACCGACTGCAATCAGATGGAGATCGTGGTGCCTGCGGCGAAAGAGGCGGGACTGACGGTCTGGGCTGGCATGTGGATTGGCAAGGACGGCGCGGGTTTCGAGAGCGAGAAAGCCAAGCTGTCCAGCCTGATCGAGAAGAAGATCATCGATAGCTCCGTCGTCGGCCTCCATGTCGGCAGCGAGACCGTGTACCGTCAAGACTTGACTCCCAAGCAGGTACACACGTGGAAGTCTTCATGTTCCTTTGCCAACGCGACTCTGTAGGCCATCGAGTACATGCAAGACGTGAAGAAGCTCATCGTCCAAGCGGGACTCAAGTTCCCAGTCACGATTGCCGACATTGGCGATTCGTACATGTGGTATCCTGAATTGGCGGCTGCGGTCGACATCATTTCGATCAATCAGTTTCCGTTCTGGGAAGGGCGGCCTGTGGATGGAGCGATCCAGTTTATGGCCGACCGCGTCGCGCCGCTGGTCAAGCTCGCAAAGGAGAACAACAAACAGATCATGGTCGGCGAGACGGGATGGGCGACGGCTGGCAAGGCCAAAGCAGCTGGCGAAGCGTCCCCAGAAAACGCTGCGGTGAGTGTCCCTTCGCGTCCACGAACTCGACTCACCTGGGTCCATGCATGCAGGCGTGGCTCAACGACTTCCACGTGTTCGCAACGGAGCAGCAGTGGCGATACTACTACTTTACCTCGTTCGACACGCCGTGGAAGCACAATGCGGACGACCCAAACTCGGAGGCCGAGGTCGAGAACCACTTTGGTCTCTTCGACTCGACGCGCCAACTCAAGCCGTGCTACGCGAACCTGAACGTGAAGAAGCGCGTCGTGATCATCAAGGACGACGGATCCAAGCCCACGACGACCCCGTTCAATGCCAAGCCCAAAACGGACACCCTCCTCAATACGACTACCTCATCGTCGACCAAACCTGTCGCCACCGCCAAGCCCGGGTCGCCGACCACGACGTCATCGTCGGCGGCGGGCTCGACTCGCGCCACCATGACGCCAGCTCCATCGTCCTCGCCGTCGACTGTTGTGCCATCCAACTTGGCAGGCACGGCCACTAGCGCCGCAACAGCGTCGACACTAGTTAGCATGGCTGTCTTGGTTGCCTCGATGGCGGCGCTTGCCATGTAGGAACTACGCCAAACGACGCGCATGTGCCTTTTGTAACACGAAGGGTTAGTTGCATGCGATAGAGTTGGTGGTGTGCCAAACAACCGTTTCCACGCTTGGATGGGGGAAGGTGGACGTAATTACAAGTGCATCTGCAGCTGCAACTCGCTCAGACGAGGGATGGGGGAGCTCAGGGAGTGTGGTGGGCCTTGCGGATGGCGATCGCGATCGCGCACGACAGGATAATTGTAGCCCCCACGAAGCTCCACACGCTGATCTTTTCGTGGAGGAGGATCACGTCCCACACAAAGACAAATACGATATCGAGGTACCGCATCACGGACGCGATCCCGACGTTCTCGAGCTGGAATCCCTTGGTCATGCAGAGTTGGCCAAGGAACCCAAACACGCCTGTGCTGACGCACAGCCACCACACTTTGGATGGGAGGTCCACGGAAAATCCCTACGCACACCCCACGCAAGTCAGAACCCCATCCACCATGTCGTATTGTGTGACCTTACCCCCTCGATTCCGACGACCCATGCGGCTGCCATCACCGAGCAAGCCAGCATGAAGTAGTGAATGACCACGATGAAGTTGAGCGCCTTGATGTGTCGAATCGCGACGTACGCGGACGCTTGGCACGCCGCCGCACCAAGGCCCCCAAGAACGGCAAATTTCGACCCGTGGACGGATGGACCCGCGGCCGCAGCTTGGTCGCCAAACAGGAACGCAGGGCGGGCGACAAAGACGACGCCCCCAAAGCACATGATGGCCAGCGCAAAGTCGACGGGCTTGATGCGCTCGCCAAGGACAATCGAGCCCTGTGCGTCCAGAGTTAAACGAGGTGGGAAAAGCTGCGGAGAATCGAGTGGACGTACGAGGAGGAAGGCCATGACGGGGCTCGTGAAGATGATGCAGCTCGCGTCGGCCAACACCATTTGCGACATCGTCCAGAACGTGAGCGACATGGAGAAGAACCCGATGATGCAGCGAAACGCCAGGGGTTTGACGAATTCGCTGGAAACGTGCAGCTGTGTCTGCGTCGCGACCACCAGAATCTGCACGCATGGCGGTCAGGACTTCGTGCGTTCTAACAGAGAATTTTATCTGAACGCACCAGGTTGAACACCCACGCCACGGCGGCACGCCAAAAGAGCGTCTCCATCGACGACATGTACGATGACTCGTATCTGCTCAACCAGCCACCAAACATGCTAAGAATCGCAGACGGGGGTGGTCTGTCGGGCAAACGTACTTGATCGCTGCCGACATGAGACTGAACGTGAAGGCCGACATGGCGACGAGGGCCAGCCCAAAGAGACGGTGTCGCGGCGCGCCGCCGACTTCGGCCTTGGTGGCAGCATCCTCGACGTGCTTGGACACGAGCGGGAGAGCTTCTTGGGCCATCCAGCTCAGCGTTTGAGAATGACCTTGTTCCGCTGGATCCTGTCACCAGGCGGTTGCCGCACGACCTGCAAAGACGTTTGATTGGTCGGTTCCAAATGAATGGGCCAATCAGCTACCACGATGACCCTACCCGACGATTGAACACGAGCCAAAAGCAATGGCATGCACGATGGGAGGCCGGGGGAGAGCGGAGAAGATGGTGGCCGGGTCAGCATGGCGCACCTGGTCTGTGGTATGCGAACAACCCAACGGCGTGCTGCTCATGGAGCGTCAAGCGACCAGCCATTCGTTTGTCGGTTGCTTTGGGTGGATGGAGCGTCGTTCCGACGTTCCTGATATATTGAGCGAGCAAACAGTCGGATGCACCCGAACAACGTTGGAACAAAGGCGGATGGTCGATTGGTGACTACGGACGCGCCAGACCAGCTACATCGCAGCCCGTTAACAACGGCTCGCGAGTTCTCACGGTGCTGGACTCCTGGATGTGGTACACCATCTCATCGTCAGGGCCCTCAGTCAGGATGTAGCGTGGGGTTCGCAAGCCTGGAGCAGCCGCAACGTATGAGCGTCCCCGCGTTTGGTTGCCATGCCCCGTCCCCACATCAGCCTGGTAAAGCGAAATCGAGTGGCCAGGACGACTTTGGGTACCCTGGATGCCTGGGTCTGTGTCGGAGGATGAATCGAGATGAGCGAGGTTTGTACTCGATGGCCCAACACGACGATGTACCACGTCGATCTATCGACCACACTCGCGACTCTTCTGTACCCCCAACGTCGACGGAACGATTTATAAAGGCACTGCAAACGACGTTATCTAGGGGCTGATGTCGTACTGGCTGGGGGGAGGGAGCATCGCATGGTTAGTCGTCGGTCGCTGTGCGCATTTTAGGCACGCTCGAATGGCGACAAACATGCCGTTGATGTTGAGTTGCCACGGCAGGTTACATCCCAAGCACAAAACTTGGCCGCACTTGCAGCAAAACGACTGTTGCCGAAACATGCCAAATGGCTTTGTGCACAGGAAGCAGTATCGGACGGCATCCAGCGACGACCCTGGCAACATCGGGACTTTGGTCAAGAACTGGCCCTGGCGCAGACGATTCTCTCGCAGGCACTTGTCGATCGTGATGAGGTTTCGGCATCGCTTCTTGTTGGCGAGATTTTCGATCCAGACAGGAACTTTCGCGCCAAAATCGACGTGGCTGATGTAGCTGAGCTCGACGTACCCACGACGTGTCGACTCGAGAAAGTGGTGGCCGGATCCATATTGGTGGACGCGCACCATGCCCGGAAATGGAGGGCACCCGTCGACTTCAACAGAAATGAGACTGCGGCACCACCCTCGTCGGCCACTGTCTCCTTGGAACGGGGACCGGCACTATCCACGTCACTCGATGTGTGTGCCACGAAAGGCAGACGAGTTTACCTCGAGCAAGACCGAGTCGCGCGATGCGACAAATGGCGGCCCCTTTTGCGCGGCGTAGATGATGGCGACGTTGTTGATGGTGCTCGTCTCGTGGGGCGGATTGAAGTCGTAGAGCGTCGCGACGTCCAGGAGGTCTTTGCCAACGCGCCGCTTCGCTTCCTTGATGAGTTCCGTCGTATGGGTTTGAAACACATCGACGACTTCGTCCAGCGTCCCCACGACCGTTGACCGCGAAATGTACATGGACAAGTTGCGCAGCTTGTCATGGGCCTTGTAAATCTTGAGCTCGGTCTCGTCAGACAAGAGAACCCATGAGATGGGGCCGCCCCGCAGCACGGCCGTCTGGACCTACACAACGTTGGAGAACACACAAGGTTTGCATTCGTCGTCCTTACGAGTTGCTTGACGCTGTGTCGCCCCTGCGCCTTGAACTGGTCGATTTCTTCCTGGGCGAGCGGCGGGCACTGGAAAAAGTCGACCGGCAGGGGAAACTTCATCTTCATGGGTGCTTTTCAAGTGTGACCGTCTCCACGGATCGGTGGTCGACCGACGCACGCAGCCGCATGCTTGACGTTCAACGGGGGATATCCGCGTCGTGCTTCATCTGTCGAGAGGGCAAAGTGCCATTTGGGACGTGGCGACATTGAAGTTGCCATGTCTCTTGGTCCGTGGCAAGTGGAGGGGGATGGCATGTCAACTGCCTTGTTAAACCTGCCAAGGCACGCCATGCGTTCAGCGAGCGCCCGAGTGCGCCAGGCATGGGGTCTCGACTTGTTTCCACATGAAGGAGAAGGATCTGAAGATGGCTTGGAGGCACCCGCGGTGGCCGTCAACATTCTTGTCGGGCCAAGAGACAAGTGGCCGTTGATGGAGTTTGTGGCGGGGCATTAACGTGTGCATGCATGATTCACTCGATGGAACGCTGAAGCCAGCAAGGTTTCGACGACTTGATGCAAAGTAAGAACGGACGTGCTCAACTACTACGCCATCTCGGGAGATAAGGGGTACGCCTGGGCACACTGCGCTTAGCATGGTCCGACGGCCTTCGGTTCGATGGAAGGGGGCAGCAGCAGCAGCAGCAGCAGTAGCCCCCCCGCTTTCTTCGCCACTCTGGCAACCTGACGGTGCCATTGGCGCTCGGTCTCAAAGTGAATAGATAATGAATCTTTCAGACAAATTGCCGCCATCATTTACTTGTCAGAAAAAAATCCCGCAAAACTCGTCAAAAAACGACGGAGTGCAATAATATCAGTGCGAGCAAAATGGAGTGGGTGGTGGGCCATGCGGTCGAGAAGGGCTGCACGTTTGCGCTGCTGTTCTCCATGTGTGTTGCCACGAGTGCCGTCGCCCAGTACTGTGAGTTTCACTTTCTTCGGTTCGCCAAGCAATCGCCGTACGTCCCGGACGCGTTCAAGAGCCTCGCGGCGGCCGATCAACGCTCTACCTTCTATCAAGTGGTCGTGTTGAGTGCGATGGGCGTGTGGACCGCCACAGTGTTTCTCGTGCTTGCGGCCGACGTCCCCAGACGAAGTATGCTGGGCGTGGTCTACTCGTGCTACACGGGTGGTCTCTTTGGCCTGGCCCATTTCTTCAAGCAAGCTTACCTCGTCGCCGACTCGGCGTCGCCATCCACGTAACGTGCCACACCGCCGCCAATCGCCCATAGCACTCACGACTCTATAAATTATCGTTCTTTCTATTCACGTTAACTCGTCTCCGTGTTGGATCACCCGGGCAATTGATCTCGCAGGCGCTTGAAAAACGCTAGTTCCCCTTCGACCGCCGCCTACCACAAACATACCCGTTGATGCACTGAACACAATGTATCACACTGTTCGTACGAGTGAGGCTGCCGTGGCTGAACTGCGGCCGTTGGACGTCGTCGCTCTTTGCAGCGGCGGCGCTTGCTTGAGTTGATGGAGAAATGCACTGACCGACATCATATCCCCCGACGTGACGCCACTGGCGGTCCCCGATAACGACGACATGGACGACAGCGTGGCGGAGGACGTGGCAAACGGAAGGCAGAGCTGATCGAGTCCGCCGGAAGAACCGGCATCGCCGTCGTCCCTTCGAATCTGGCCCAAGCCAAACACGGCATCTGACGGGGCCGGGTCCACGGACCGTGATATTCCCCAATTCGTCCCTGCATCCAACGACGGCCGCCTGCGCGATCCAAACTTGTCTACCACGGCAGGAGACTTCTCGTTAGCCCAACGAGTTCTGCAGCTGACGTACCCTTCAACGTGAGCAGTCGCGACGGCGTCGTGGCTGTCGTCGGCGACGTCGGCGTGAGCTCGCCGGAATACCCTCGAAAGGGTGGGCTTTGGGATATTCCAAACAAGGGCGAGCCGCGGTGGTGTTGTTGTGGCTGTCCATTTGTGGTAAACTCTCGAGCAGGGCCAATACGAGCCGAGCCATGGACCAAAAACGCAGGGGGTGGCGACGTGTGCTCTGGCGATGTGGACGCCGATCGAGGTTGGCCGTCGCCACTTGCGCTGCCTTGACTGCTGCTCCCAACACTGAATCGAACGTCCGTTGTAGCAACCGGCATCAACGGGTGGGGGGAGTTGGTCGACGAGAGTGGCGTGTGACTGGGGCTGTGGCGTGGACTTGGGCGAGGCAGTGGCGCCGAGTTGGGATGACGAAGCAGCGGCGAAGACGAATATGCCGGCGATGCAATCGGCAGGTTGTATCGAGGGCTCGCGTCTATGGGGCGTGCGTGGACATAGCCGTACGGCGCCGCCAGCGGCTGCGTCGGTCGGTGCGTCGCACTTGTGACGGCAGCATGCTGGTGGTGGTGGTGGCTACACATATCCGATAAAATCCTCCACCAACGCATTCGGGAACTGCACAAACCGTTGAGGAAAATCTGTCGCGGCGTCCAGTGAGTGGGCGCGTGCATACAAAGAAGGACCAGAAGAGCCGCTACCATGGTGGTGCAACGAGTGGGGCGGGTGCTGGTTCATATTGTTCAGGTGCGTCGAGTGGGCTCGAACAATGCCGCCACCGCTTCCGTGGTGAGTCATCGGCGACGACGCTGCGCTGTTGGACGCAATCGCAGCGGCGTTGGCGCTGTGTGGAATACGCACGGGCTGGGATGTGATGCGGTATTGCGGCGACGACGTCGTCGCAGAAGTCATATCCAACGACACGTGTCGGCGTGGAATCGCTTGAGGTGGCGACACGGCCATGTCGTCCCGTGGCTGGACGTCCGAGTCGCGTCGGTGGTGGGAATCATGGTGCTGTGGCATCATAGCTGCCGCTCTTCCATCTACTCCCGTCAATTGAGTCATCCATGGATGGCAATATGAGTTGGGATGGAAGACTCAACTGTCCGTACCTTGGAGAGAATGCGAGGTAGTCGTGTGGTGGTCTGTAACTTCTTGGACAATTCGCATCGGAGAGGAGCGCAGCATAGGCGATGCTGGTGGCGCCGTCAAGGGCGTCAGGTTTGTCACCGCTGAGGGCGCGACCGATGGTTGCAACAGGGGACTCGACGTTGGGGTTGTGTTGGCGGAGGTCGGGACGTAATCTTGAATGATAGCTCTTGTCAGTGTTGAAGACATTTGAAGGGACGCGTGTGGGTGGTCGTCGTCGGCGTACTGCGCATGCTGCTCCTGGGGACTTGTAGCAGGCAGTCTCGTCATGCGCTGAATGACGGCAAGAAGGTCATCGTTGTGCATTCGATATAGCACACTGAGCTGAAGAGTTCCAAACGGTGTATCAATTGGAACGAAGCTGTAGCGTTGCTTCGGTTGATCGGGCTCAAAGTCCCAAGGCAAAGGCGCATCTGTCGACGATGCAAGCGCGTACTGGAGGCCGACAACGGGATGACCGAGGTCTTCCTGTTGAGTTTTCAGTCGATCGCCAACGGGAAATGCGGGGAGAATGCGCGCCAGGCAGTATACGGAGCGAAGGAGGATGCCAATCCGACGACAAACTTCGCGGAGTTGGTTGATCACGTCCAGAGGCGAATGGGTCTGGACGCCGGTTGTGTACGAGATTTGCCATCGTTCGAGAAGCACTCCGTCCATCGCGATGACGAGCACAACGGGTTCGTTGACATTGTCGCGGCAGGGGCGCATGAGGTCGCGCACGTGCGGTAGTTCTTGAATATCAAGGTTGAACTACGCACACGACAGATTCAACGGCGTAAGGATGCAAGAAACCGAGGCATGCGACCTACCCGTGCACGCCGCGGTGTCGTGGGTTGAAAGTATGCTCGACTGAGTAGCACGACTTCGACAGTCTTGTAAAGAAACTCGAGCACGACCTGATCTGTCTTCTTCTTGCCTGTCGACACGTTTGTGTTGTTTGCGGGGTAGCCACCGGATGCACCAGGAGGTCCGTGGGTCTGGAAGTGATCTTGCGTGGACGACGAGCGGCGGTCGGAGGAGTATACTCCGCCGCCGCTGGAGACACTGCTCCGGTCGAGCTGGATCGATTCCATCATCGTCGTTGCCCCAACGTTAATGTCGTCGGATCTTGGAAGAGAAGCGGGATGCGTTCTTTCCGGCAATATCCGAATTTTACCTTGATGCTGTCTAGTCTAGGTGTCAGCTCTAAACTAGACGTTCACTTGAGAAGTTACCAAATCGATGCACTAGTTTCGGCGTTTTGATCAAGCATACTGGTATTGCAACAAACTACAACTACTATACTAGGTATTTTGTTGCCTGAATCAACCAGTAATGCCAGATTTAGCACTCAAATTCACTAAATACCTCGAAGTATTGTGGATCCGCAAATGCCTAGACTAATAGTAACCCTCCTAGTTTAGAGAATTTGATGTGGAATTTGCAACTTGTGTTCACGACAACGATGCAGCGCCAGTGGCTCCACTGGAAGAATCGCGTCCTGTATGCTGTCAACAAGCTCCAGTACGACGCACAGAAGAAGGCGGAGTTGATCTGGTATGGGTCGAAGAACGTCGGGAGCGCACATGCCAATGTGTCGGTGCCATTTATGGTCACAAGGCAGATGAGAGTGCAGCTTGCCGAGATTGGATTCCCGTCGCATGTCGTAGCGGCGCTTACTCCAGCGGACGCGCACGCGATTCTGCAAAGTAACACTTCGTATGACATTTATTTCACGCAAGCCAAAGCGCGTGCAACCACGTCAAAGAGCACTGGATCAAGCGCGATGGAGAGCTCGGTGTCGACGGATGCATCCACCACCAACCAGCACTCTTATGCATTGACGTTTGTCCCAAACACAGAGGACAAAGACGGTAAGGAGTGCGCAGAACGTTGTACAACGGCTGCGGCGCTCGTTATCGTGCCTGAAAAGGCACCGTCATCATCAGCATAACCTGCACTAGAATCAACCTCATTCGTTTTGTAATATCGTTGACCTTGGATCCGTTGGGAGTGCGCGCATCGAGACTCCATCGGGTCTGCAGCAATTTCTCTCTCGTTCTCTTCAAAGGATACCATCGACCCTTCATAAGGCAGCACGCGACGGGTTTTGATGTGATTCTCGACACAGGTCGCTGGTTTTCTTCTCAGCAATTTCTCGCACACTACACGTGTCATGACCCGCACCTGCTCCTTGTTGGCCATTTCTTTCACGGCCTTCCACTGCTACAGCCGCACGTACGGTCTACCTCCTGCAGCTTGCCCTCGCACTTCAGGAGACCTGCTTCTCGCACATGACACGATGGTCACCACTGGTGCCAAGTGCCCTAGGCAGACATCATTTTTCTGAAGTCGCCCACAAGTTAGTCTAGCTTTCATTCGACTCTATGGAGCTCAATCAATTCCACCACCACTGCATGAGCAACTCCAGCATAAAAGCATCACCCGGTTGTTCTTTATATGACAGACACGAGCAAGAGATCGAATGGCATTTGTCAGAGCTACAACTCAACGACTTGTGCAGCTCGACGATGGTTTCGACCTGGCCGAACAAGGAGTCCTCTACTTGTTGCGACCGAGCGTGCGCTGCTTCTCTGCGTGCACAACGATCTTTTCTTCTCGGGCAAGACCCTTTCGCTTGCGCACGAGCTCAATGAGTCGACGAACGGCGTTGTGTTCGTCGATTCGTTCGCCAAAGTCCTCTCGCTCCTCGTCCGTCTGAGGCTGGAAGAACGGGTCGTCTTCCATGATGGTCCAGTGATCAAAGATCAATTGCGGGTTGCTGGCATTGCCACTGGTGCTCTTGAGCAATTCCGTGGCAAACCCAAAGCTCTCGACGACCGGCAAGTGGGCTTCAATTCGAAACAACGCGCTGCCGTCGCTGAGTTCTTCCGACAGGACTTTTGCCCGGCGTTTCGCAAACACACTACACACAGGATTGATGGGCACGTCGTTGGGCGCCGCGGTCGGTACCTATATAGTTTGCCTAACTGCTCCGCATGGCACTGCACCGTGCACAAGTACATGGCTTCCACGAGCCGCACGGGTTGCTGGATGAATGCATTGCGACATCCGCTCTTCATCGTGGAAATGACTTGGCCGCTCAGAGGTCCATAGATCGCCGGGGCCGACGCATCTTCGGTGGGAGTGAGCACAACGTCTTCCACAACAAACGCAACGCCCCAGACGGGTTCGTCGCAGAGAGGGCCACTGGCAGTCGCCAGTTGGAAACCCGTGATCAAGCTCGACTCAAACTTGGAGCGAGGGTCGCTGTCGGGGATCCCCGTGTTGGCTTGGAATATGGTGGACGCCGACGCGTAGTCCGGGACTCGGTTCACGAGCAAGTTTGGCCCAACCTAGTTTCACCTTGCTGGTTAACCAGGACGCAATAATTACAACGACATGGAACGAATTCAATTCGAGATGTTGTCATCGATGTGTCGTACTCGACGAGGGCCACAGCTCCACAAGGCGTCCAAAGGAAGCTTGCGCCAGAAATCGTCCGAGCAGCCTTGAAGCAGAGCGGCCAGTACGTCCTTGAGACTGAAACATACGATTCGAGTGAGTCCATTGAGCCATGCAAGTCTTCAAATCAAAGATGTCATCGTGACATCTCACACGAGCCACGGCATTGTGGCGACATTTGCCTTGAAAACAACGTTCGTTTGTACCTAGCGACGTCGATGCTGTCGGCGGTGTCGCTATTATCGTGCAGCGCACGCCACGTGTCGGTGTGTTCTTCGAGGAATGACACGACAGTCGGTGGCACCGGCACCGCGCGCAGGTGCAAAGTCACTTGCGTGTCGGGCGTGGGACAGACCACAGTCTTGAACCTGCCGTCGGGTGTACGACCCACCGACATGTCGGACAGTTGGAGGAGTTTGAAGTTGAAAATGGACTGTTTGTCGTAGTTGGCGTCGCCCGCCGCAATCGTTTCGCGAAATCCGACGAGGGGCTCGGACACGCGCAGCGGAACTTTGGCAAAGCGCTCGGTCAGGTCTTTCACACATCGTTCCAAGTGAAGCTCGCCGAGGGCGACGATGACGTGCTCCCCCGTTTCCTAACAACACATGACCAGCATCAACAAGATGCAGACTCCAGCAGCATCGGCGATGTCGCACCTGCACATGCACTTCGACTGTCGGGTCCGACCGGTACAATCGCTGCAACCCAGCTTCGAGGTCGGCGAAATTCCTCGGGTCTTCTGGCTCCACCGCCACACGAACTATCGGCTTGGCTTGGTATGGCATCCTCGCTAACGATGGGCACGCCACGGTGCTCGACAGCGTGGCTACAAGGTCGGACAGGTCAACGACATCTCCTCTGGACACAAACAAGCGCGTTCGCCGAGCAACCATCAATTTGCAATACGCTTTGCAGAAACGATGTCCCGATCGACACAACCTGTTTTGAGCACATGCTCATGGAGCCCAACGATCCCGACAATGTTCCCAGAGGGGACTTCGTTCACCGCGACAAAATCCGCGCCCATCACCATGTACAGCTGGAGACTGTGTGGGGCAATCGCCGTAACATGACTGCTTGGCAGGCCTTCGCCGTTGTATTTTGGCCCAAGGAGGTAGAGCAAGTCGTCGGCTTTCAACGTGCCGGAGAAGACTCGTCCCACGGCCACGTACACCTCGGCGCCACGGTTCGAGTCCTACAAGTGTGTACCATCAGCCACGACGACGACCGGTCGGTTGTTCGGTACTTCTTTCATCGGATACATCGCCCGCAGCGAGGTGTTGGTTGCGTAATCCGACAAGTTGGACGCTTCCGTCGACACCATTTTGCAAATGAACACCACGATAGGCGACGTCGAGTCACAAGCTACCGATGAGAGATGAGTGCTGCTGTCGACATTGATCGATGGGAGAAGCACCTTGTATGGCATTAAAAGTCGCCACTTGGCCTGCATCGGCTTGGTTGGGCACGCAGAGGCGTTCGGACCGAGTCTTTTGCGCTGCGACTGGCGATGGCAACACCCGCGTCACCATTTTTAGCACCGATGGCGCCAGGGGTAGCCACTTGCGCATGACGGCTTGCAGGGCGAGCTTTCGATCTCGCTGGAGCAATTCGCGGTCGTTGACGAGTTTGGCCACTCGGAGTGACTAGAGCATTGAGACACTGTGGCCGAAGATGGCACATATCAAGTTGAGTACCTTGGTCAATTGACGGAGCTTTTCCAGAATCGTGGGGTCGGCGGTCAGTTCTTTCTGCGGCGGCAACGGCTCCATGAGGGTCTTGTAGACAGACCAGAGCGGCTCCAAGATGAACGAGACGAACATGGGAACGCTCGACGATGTCCACGGCGTACTGCGAATGACTTTGGTCTTGGCGTGGAAGTAGTGGTCACCCCAAAGGCCCTTGCGCCATTGCGCCTGCGGTGTTTCAAATTTCTTGCTGTAGTACGCCGCAAAGTATCTACCGTAGCCATGCAAACGACTCGCCATCAAAGCTCGGTTGCGATGTCAGTGGCCCTTACCCAATGCTAAACGCCCACCCATCGTACGCACTTGCAAACAGCACGTTCCCATACGCCGGGGAAAACATCCACTGCCGCTCCAGCGTTTCTGTCTGGTCATCATCTTCTTCCAGGAGCGACACATCAAGCTCCTCTTCTTCGTCAAGGCGATCGGCGCGGATCATGGAGCTGATGATGACGTTCGCCTACGAGGTTCAGTCGAGTTGATTTCAAATAGAATATGTTAGTAAAACAACTCCATGACCACGCAAAATGCTGATTAAAGAGCCCCACACGGCGGCGTTCAGCGACGTACCCGTTCGACGATGCGGCAAATGTGCCGGTACGCTTCGACGGGCGTGTACTGGAGCTCATAAATCAGCCGATCGATCTTGTTGAGCACGAGGCACGGTCGAATGCCTTCTTGCCACGCCTACGGCCGCGACGTGGTTCAGGGGCGATGAGGAACGCCCCAGCACGAACCTGACGCAGCACGGCATGTGTCTGCGCACACACGCCTTCGATGACGTCGATCAGGACAAGTGCCCCATCGCAGAGTCGTACGGCGGTGGACACATCAAACGAAAAGTCGACATGACCGGGGGAATCCACCAAGTTGATCAAGTACGGCACAGTCACTTCGTCGTTCGACGAATCGAGGCCGCGCGCCTTGCGCTCGGCCGGCGTCAATGGTCCTTCGTACATCAACGAGATGGCGCTGGATTTCATCGTTATGCCTCGTGTTTGCTCTTCTTCTGTGTTGTCGAGAAACCGCACCTGGAAGACACCAGTATCAAGGCCATGTCACGACAACTGACCCCAGTACCTTTCCCGCCAACTTGTCGGAAATGATACCGTTCGACGAAACGAGGCTGTCACTGAGGGTTGTCTTCCCGTGATCGACATGCGCAATGATGCAGATGTTGCGGATGTGCTCTGTGTCCTTTTGAAGCGCCGCCAATTGCCGTGGACCAACCCGACCCGCCGCCATGATGTTGGTGCTGCGTTGTGATTGCTGAAGGCAATTACGACTGTGCGCTCCACCAATCACAGCGGAGTATATCGGTATCCGTATACCGGGTGTCATGAAATAACCGGTACAACATCGATATTTGTCACCTCCGTTCAGGGCAGGTAAACACCCTTTTGCCGGGTGGTTGACATACACTCTGGATCAACAGAGTGAAGGCGCTGTTTGCTGCCAACGGAGGTGGCGTGGAAAGTGATGCGGGATCGCGGATGGCATCCCACCACCATGGGTTGCGTAGCCGCCGCAGACTCGACTCTCTTGTTGAATCGGCACAGCTCATTGGATGGTCATGCACTGCTCAATGAATAGCGTGAATGGAGGGGAACCATGCGATGGATATCGTCGTCGCGAGCTTGTCCACTGCACCCGTGTGTTGTTGTCCAGGACAAGAGTATATACCATGATGGCAAATTACCTGCCAAACTCGTGACGAGGAAGTCACTGATGAAAATCACGATGGATGCTCGCCTTGATTGATATCATCCGGTCGACTGCGAGGGTGCTGTTTGCTAGTGTCGAGTCAACCTCAGCCATGGTGACTCGTAGGAACCCTAGAGGTATTGAGTTCATCGTCCGATGTGGAGGTGGATCATGCTTTTGCATGATCTGAACGACGGACTTCGTATGCCGGCCAGTCGCGTCTGTGACTTCTGGTGTGACCAGCTTACAGAGCATTTTCAGCTCCACTTGCTACTCGGCTGCCCTCCACTCGTTCAAAGTCTCATCCTGAGTCCGTCAGACCATCCGCAGCTGCCTATCTTGTGATATTCTCCATAACAGAGCGAGCGATGTGCTGCTCATGGTACGCCAAGTCGAAACACGTCGGCCACATTGATGCGTTTGTGGTCATCAGCTGCGATTGCCAACCATCGCAACCTGCTTTTGCCGTGAAACTTGGAAGAACCAACGAACCTTCCAACAAATTGCCTGCGGAAAAGCTGGACAATCTCGAGCCTCGTTTTATTCGAATTTTATCGCCGTAAAGAATAATATTACTCCCGTCAACGTCACGACCGGCACGGTTGGGGAAATATTAATATTCGGCTTGTGGATATCCGAATCCGGATAAGGGGGCCAGTTCAAGAGGCGCGAGCGAATCAGGCAAAGCGCCGCGATGCGGACCAATCAGATTGCGTGTTCAGAATAGCTCGCACAGCAGTTATCGTTAATGCATTCGGTAGACCTGGTGCTATAGCCATATGCGGAAATTCCATGACAGAAAGATTTTGCGGGTGACTAACCTCAACGCAAATAAATTGAGGGCACTGAACCAGTCTGGCGTCCATTCCACACCCGCTGTCACAAGGCAAAAGATCGACCAGCACCCAAGTGGTGTGCTTGGCGTTCTCGTCCTGCAGGCCACCATCCGAGCTCGTACATGATGATGGCCACGTCTGCATCCCCACACCTGTCGCCGTGCAACCAGTCGGGCACACCACCATCGTCGCCGTGTAGCCCAAGCCGTTGCAGCAACGACGATGTGTCGACCAGCATGTTCCCGCCACGTCAACGCAAAGGTTCGTTGAAGCGGCCACTGGCCACCGAGTACGACAAAGTGCAACCAAGCGACTTGGAGATGCTTAAAGTGATTGGCCGTGGCACGTTTGCCCAGCAAGTGGCGCTCGCCAAAGACCGACAAACGTCCAACGTGTACGCTGTCAAGAGCTGCGACAAGCAAAACCTTGTCAAACGCAAGCAAGTTGTCCACACATGGACCGAGAAACGAATCCTAGAAAAGCTTCGTGGCCACCCGTTCATCGTGACCCTCTTCTCGACGTTCTCGACGCCGGATGAAATCCATTTTGTCCTCGAGTATTGCCCCGGCGGCGAGTTGTTTTACCATTTGCATCAACAAGACCGGTTTGACGACGTCAGCGTACAGTTCTACGCCGCAGAAGTGCTCACCGCGCTGCAGTCACTGCATTCTGCCAACATTGTGTACCGCGATTTGAAGCCCGAGAACGTGCTGCTGGATGCTGGCGGGCACATTCGGCTGGCTGATTTCGGATTCTGTAAAGACATGGGGTACGCCTTCTTCCGCATGGTTTTGACACCTACATATTTACATTTCGTTGTGCTTGGCGCAGGGAGTGCGACCGCACGTATTCGTTTTGCGGCTCGCCCGAGTACTTATCCCCTGAAATGATTCGACGCAGGGGGCACACCATCGCAACTGATATGTGGTCGTTTGGCTGTTTTTGCTTTGAGCTGGCCATGGGGTACCCACCGTTTCAAATTCACAACGACGACCTGTCGGCGCTGTTTGAATCGATCCAGGCCGGGCGTGTGTATTTCCCGCCGCAGCTTAACCCGACGTTTGTGTCGTTCCTGCAGCGGTGCCTTGACATCAACGTACGGTCAAGCATGGTTGCCTGAGTGATGAAGTCACCTTTTTTCTTTTCCATGCAGGCAAACACGCGCTTTACTGCCACGGAAGCCATGGACCACCCATTCTTCAATGGCATTATGTGGTCGCAAGTGCTGGCGCGCCAACTCACGCCGCCGTTCGTCCCTCCATCAAACGGGGTCGAATGCACCCAGAATTTCGACGACGACTTTACTTCAGAAAGCCCACGCAGCCCCACGCTGTTGGAGATGAAGCAAAAGCGCCATCAGCAGCACGTCCCGTGCGTTGTCCCTGAGTCGGTCGATGTCTTTTGCGACTTTTGATCAGTCGGTGTCGCTGCTCTAAGAAATGAATAGTATTACTAGTAGTAACCTCAATTTGCTAATGATTTATGTTCGTTCCTTTTTTCTCATAGGTCAATTATGAAGGTTTTGCACTTTGTACTAGTAGCAGGCTGTATATCATCACACAAAGTAGCACATTACTAATACGTCGAAGTAGTAGTTATAAGAATATTTCAGACGAAACAATCCCATGTTTAACGCGACTGCCGCCGCTGCTTTCCACGGAATGGCGGCCCACGAGCAACACCATCTCTATTTACACAGGTACGATGTTGTAGGATTATTGCTCCATGACCTGTCGTTTGTGATCCTAGCACACTCGAAAGCTGGGCATTCCCACTGACATCCACTGTGAAGAAAAGGCCATCACGAAGTCGTCTGCTCAAAATCCAAGCAACAGACACATACCCGATACCTAAAAGGATTCATCGTCAACAGCACAGGTCAACGAATCGGACCAGCATCTCATGGAATTCCGCATCCACTCCCAAGGTTGCAACATTCGGGATTCTGTTGAACCCACAAGCGCGCTAACTCCTACGTATCGGTCCGACGGTGTGCGATAGCAGGCAACCGTGGAGTGGCACAACGCTGGCAACTTGTTCGAGATTGTCCACACCTTGCGGCGCAATGTTTCTTGGAGCTGAGCTTTCTGGAAGTCGTCAACCACGTGCTTGATCAAATGCAAGCTGCTTGGATAACCAGAAGTCGAATTGCCTCCACCCCTTTAACAAATAGGCCACGAGCTCTCAATGTTGATTTAAGACCCTCGGACTCCCCGTTGGCGACGGTGGCAGATATCCCGTCGGCGTCCCTGACCGTTCCAAACCTCAAGGCCCGAGTCGATCCTTGTGCATGGCGTGTCAAGTTGGTCGCACCGCTGCCTTGTCATACCCTTGCCTGAAAGGTACGTCAAACAAGCGATCGACGTAGCTTCCACGAAACATTATCAACGTGCTCCTGCTGTGGCAAGTTCCTGACGGTACACTGCATGACGACGGCGCACGATTCGAAAACGCGTGGTTTTTGTCTCGCGTATTCGCCGCAAACGACGCGCAGGGTGTGTCGAGTCAGTGTACAGGCCGATACAGTAGAGCTAGCCCGACAACATCTCGAACAAGGTTGCGCAAATCCTGCACGTACAACAGAAATCGTGCATGTCCATCGTATATACTATGCTCGACTTCACGTCGTACACCCTGACGGCCAAAGTCAAGTCGTTTGTTGGTTTTCCCACGAGAGGCTGCAGCGGCTACGGGATGGGTTCCATTGAGCGAGACGCGGCATGCCAATTTAGTATGCCCGCATCGTGCGGTGGCAGCGTCGCTCACGTAGTTTCATCAGCAATCGCAGGCAAGCTGCTACATGGAAAGTGATGGTGACTCCAGGTCTTCACTGTATCGTTCAACTCGCGCAGGATCAAATTGGAAACTGTGGAGTGCGAGCTCGCCCCCACTCGTACCCCAGGCTCGTTTTTGTGCGACGTGGAAGTCCAGCGACTCAACCTTGAAATTGCTTGTGTACGCTCTCAAGCCAGTAGTGGTCCCTTGCCACAGGTTAGCTATCTCATTGCCCAGTCGTGAGGAACCCCATGTTGAACAGCACTCCCTGCTCTCGCGGCTTCCGACCGGCCAACATCAGTACGCCCATCACCTACTTCTCTCTCTCACAAGCTGCCACGTATCCAGGACTGTTTTACCCAATCAACGGCAACTATATCGATTCGACCAATGGTATCGCTCCATCATGAAACGGCACGAATATTTTGCATGTCCGCCCCCGCGACAGGTTCGTCGCGGGTGCGCATGTCGCTCGACGACTCGCTACGTCTCGTTCACGACATCCTCGACGAAGACAGGAGCTTCCTTGAGTACCTCCATGATGAGAATGTAACCGAGCGAGACCGCGTGCACCACGCGCTGCACCAAGCGTCCGTAACGTCGACGACAGCAATTCGACCGGAGAAGTATATCAACGAGACATGCCATGAACTCCAGCACGAACTGGAGCAGCTTGAATCGGAACTGTCCTTTTACGATACGATGAAGAGGACCACCTCGTCGAAAGCGACGCGAGGTTCAGGGCAACACGAGCAAGCACATGGCGGAGGCTCAGTGGCACCTAGGGCAAGAGCCCACCCAACGCGGCAGCCCCCCAAGAAGAAGACTGTGCCAGCCCCACACACTCCAATCGTCGCTACATCCTTCGATTCCATGATCGCCAAACTCCAACGCGATTACGAACACGACAAGGCAGCGCACCTCGATGCCCAAGCCAGAATCCAAGCGCGCGTCGCCGCCGCTCACAAAGACGCCATGGTACTACCTAACGATGCCATCTCCACTTGTCTTTGTCAAGAAGAGCCGGGATATCGTAGGTGTTTGCCGATATGCAACCGCCCGCCGAGGACACCCAACGTGTACGATCGATTCGCAACATTTATGTATCTCTGATGCCGTCGGCAACGTTTGTCACAGGGTGCCCAGGCTGCCGCGACGGCAAATCCCCAACTCGACGCGTCGGAAGTATATGCTGCGGCACCCATACATTTGAGTACTCACCCAAGCGACTAGAGCAACATGACCGCCAAACATTTAGCCGAGAGCCACGTCCTTCCCGACCCAGAGGAGGTGTCGACAATCCAATTTTTCGACTATCATTTGGTTCATTTTGGCCTCCACTCTAGCGCCACGACCGGTCCCGAAGCGGTCCCAATGTAAGATGTTGTTATGTGGGCAAGTTACAATGGACTTTTGGTATATAGTGTACCAATGGCCTCCCCCCAACCCAGCCATCGAACGAGGTGCGGTCGATCTCTCAAGATTGACCGCGCGAATGTTTGATGTCGTTGTTGATGGTGTGGCAGTCAACTTCACGATTGCGCTTGGCATCGATGCAAGCGATTCGTGAAGCGTGTTCCACAGCCATCGCGACCGAAGCAGACGCTGTCCTCCACCAAGGCCAACAGAAGCAGGTGCATGCAATCGACCAAGTCGTCGAACGATTTCAAATCCGCAAGCGGCTCGCTGTCGCAAAGTTACAGGAAGCGTGCGATCGAGAGACGCACGATGTCGTGGCAGCGACCAAGGCCGAGCTGGGCCAGGAGCACCATGTACTTTGCACCAGACCCTCAGCTCGCGAGTTCAGCATGGACGAATCGCTGGTGTAGGCCGAGCTAGCCCACGTCCAAGACGAGTTTATGGCGAAGCGACGTCATGAGTTGAACGACGTGCTGGTCAACAACGAGCGGCGACTCGAGAGGGAAAAGCAAAATGTGGTCGAAAGGTACCAGCTTGAGACCGACCTCAAACGTGCGGCACTCCAGCGCCAGCTCGACGTTGATCGAGTCGCAGTACTGCGCGAAATCGAACAAAAATACCAGGTGCCGTCATTTGGATTTATTACTCTCCAGTACAACGCAAGTCTGACGCGGTGGTGTCGGTGCTCCAGGCGGATTTGGTAGCGCTGGAAGAACGTCTCCGCCATGTTGTGTCGGATGAGCTATTGGCGAAGCGGCAGGAAGTCGCGACAGCGTTGCTCCAGCGTGAAGAAGAGTTGCTTCAGCAAGGCCGAGCGCAAGCGTTGGCGATGCACCAAGCCAACGAGCGCGACGAGGTCGCTAAGTTGCAGGAGGCGCTTCAATTGGGGTCGTCGTTGCGGCTGCAGCAGGTTCGAAGTCCCTATACACGACCCAGCCTCGTATTCATCACAATGCACCGACAGTTGAGAGAGCGATTGGATGGACAGCGTGCCGCCAAGCTTGCACAGATCGAACGAGTCGCGAACGAATCCCTGGAGCGGTCGCTGGAGCACCTCCGCAATGAACATGATGCGGACACTGTCCAGCTCGTCCACACCACCCAAGACCGACTTCGGCAGTACATAGCGCGACATTGCCGCCATCCATTGACCTGTTGGTATTGCCGGGCTTCCGGTTTAGGGCACACGATCGCGAGATTGATTCGTTGCGGCAAGCACTAGCCGTCGACGAAACTCGATCGCTCAACGACGTGACGACTCAACTCCGCGCGAATCACTTGAAACGGTATCCAAGTCGATCTCGACCGACGATTCTGACAAGGCGCCGTCGAGGTCACCACGATGCCGTCGTGTAGGGTCGAGCGCATTCGAGAGGAGCATGATCTCCGCCGCGCGGACCGGCTGGCCCAGCTCCAACAAACTTACGAAGCCGAGTACATCGTGCGCATGGAGACGCTACAGGAAGATCTGAACGCCCAATTGACCGCCACGTTGAGCGAACGGGCGGCGGAGCACTCGCGCGCTCTGCAAAAAGAAATCGATACCCGGACACAGCACTTCGCTGACGTCACCGATCGGTTGACGTCGGAATTGCACTTTTGGTTTCAAGTGGTCAAGCACCAGCCAGGGACGTTGCTACCGAAAGAGCGGCGACAGGACGACGGTGGCGAGGCCCCCGACGCCATAGCCAAGCTCAATGCGTTAGGCATCACCAACCGCGAAGTGAACCAATGGATCCACACGATTCGTTCAGAATTCTTCGACCTCTCCGACCAGCACAAGGTGCTAGTCGAGTCACTTCGTCAAGCTAGCGTCGTCGCCAGTTCGTCTAAGCAAAAGGTGGCGGCGCTTGAAGATGCACTCGCTCGCCAGGAGGCGAAGCTGGACAAGGCCATGGTGGACATTCATGAGAAGACTCGATTGTGCCAGCGCTTATACAACGCCAACGAGCAATTGCTCAAGCAACTGCCCGCGGCGTCGCCACCGTAGCAAGTGTCTGTAGCCGGGCCCACGTGCAGGCCCGCCAGCCCATTCCATGGATGGCCAGCGCACACGCGATCGATTGGGGCGCACCCTGCTCCTAGTTTTGGTTGTGCGCGCGGCTTTGTACCAAAACACCACACGTGTGAAATGTCCTTCCTCCTCCAGTACACCCACTTGGCCGATGTTCTGGCACGATGGATGGGCGTGGGTGGATAAGCCATGGCGTTGGGACTTGAAAATTTCGTTGGTGGGTGCATGAAGGCAGCCTGCATCTTGGCGTTCGCTCTGCACTCGCCATGCTCGCCGTCCCGTTCCCCATGCGCTTGGAGCGTTCAGTTTGGCGGCTGTGTACGCATGGGTCTACCAGTTGAAGTTGGCGCGTTGGATTGTGTAACGCGACCGCATCGATTGTCTCGCGAACCAGGCGGAACAAGTTATTGGATGGTCGGCTTCAGTCCATGCCATCGGCCTCAAAACCAAGACAAACCCATCCAGCACCGTCCAGCAATGGGAAATGGCCGGGGCAGGCCAGTCACAAGCACCGGCGACAACCCAACTATCGACACCGGAACGTGCGCGCACGTTTCGATCTTGGCGAAGTGAGGTGGCGTGTGAGATGCTTGGTCGCTTCGTGGGTTGGATTCCCTGTCTAGCGTACACCACATCGATCGCACGCCGCAGCATCCCCTCCTGCCATGGAAAAAGCGAGATGAGGACAAACTGCCTGCCGCAGCTTTCCAACCGAAAATGCTGGGCTAAGTCTCTGCAGCTGATCTCAAAGGCCGCGATGCGAACCCGCGCAGCCCCTTCCCTTCCTCGCCGCCCTGATCTGGCCTAGCCCTTACGCCTGTGACGAGCTCCACCCCCGCGAACGTTTGATCTAGCCCTCCGCGCCCATGTGTTCTCGCGCGCGTGGCGCTCGTGGATGGCGTGGTTCAGCTCGTCGCTGGACACGGGACAGGCGTCGATCATTTCGTAGAATTTGCGTTTTTTATATGGAATACAAATGTTAAGTGACTTGTTCAAATAAATTCCCCCTCAACGCGTTGAAACGGGCGTGTGGCGTCAGCGCCGTAGTCGAACGCGTTTAACACATGACATGAAAAACGCGTTTTAACAACACGGTTGACGTAAATGAGTTCTGAACTCGTAGCCAAGTCGGTCGCACCCTCCGCCTGTAGCGCTCCAACATATCCTCGCTGGAAGAACCGTCGTCTCGTTCGTGTAGCGCAGCACTTGGATCGTTGCGCTGTGGCGTGGCCGGGCTTTCGATGTCGACAGCTATATTCAAATGTCCCTGTCCACGTTAGCGGATTCTGCAATGAGCTGGAATTATAGCCAATCAAAAGGACCTCTTCGAATTCAACTAGTTAATTGGCTATAATCAACCAATTTAACGCAGGAACATGAATAAAACGCGTTTGATGTGCGAAAGTCAACGTGGCTGGGACGCAAAGGCGAGTGGAACAGTAGGTGGCACCGCGGCCGAGTGTGGCCAGCGCGGACTCGACTGAACTGCCCACATCGAGTGCCTTTCGGGGCACTACTGGCCTCACCGCACCATGACGCAGCCCCAACATCTACGGCAATGCACGGGGTCGATGGCATTTCCATATTCAATCAGCCGCAGTGATGCAATACGGCGCCCCACAGCCCTCACTCCGTTGCTTTGGCAGCGAACAACTCCACCAGCACGACTACTCCCGCATTGCATGCATTGTTCCGGCGTGCTATCGGTTTGCGAAGAGCCATGGTATGTGCCTGATCCACGCGTCGACCCTTCGCCACAGCCCCTCGTCGAACCGAGTTGAGACGTCCCTGTCGTTGGGATCGAGCTCGCCCACGACGAGCACGTCGTCCACCTTGAGCTCGCAGGACGAAGCAGCATCCACTGCCATGCTTGATCTATACCGTCAATCATCCCCGCGAGGCAGCGACGCACCCGACCTCCATGACATTCGCAACAAGTCGTCTCGTCGGTGCTTCATTTCCAGTTGCCACAAGTTTGCCCGCATTGCTGGCCTGTGCACCCAACACAACATGAAACTCAGCAACCAGCGACGAAAATGCAACGTCGACGAGTGCCGGTCGTACGCTCGTACCGCTGGTCTGTGCATTCGCCACGGGGGTGGTAAAATGTGCTCTGTTGAAGGATGTAACACTGTGCAGCAGTCCGGTGGCCTCTGCCGCGCCCATGGCGGTGGGTCCAAGTGCAAACCGTGTAAACACGACGGGTGCACGCACTTTGCACGTGTCGGAGGGCTCTGCGGCCAGCACAAACACCACGCTACAACGCCGTCGCTCCCGAGTTTGCCATCGGATCGAGGGACGTAGATAACTTATAACGTGGTCGCACGCGGCTGCTCTCCGTGTGCCTTCTCGACATGTCTGAGCTTTGGCACCATTCCTCCGACATCAAAATTGCACATTCCTGGCAGTTAATGCGTAAATTTGCACCATGTACCGAGCATCGAATATTATTTTTAATCTGTCAATATTTACCAATCCCCGTAGTGGACTTGACGTTTGTAACCACTAAATTGAGTACCACTAAATTGAGTACCAATTAATATGCACTTTTTTATTCGAATACCACAACACAATTCGGCAAACACGTCGAGGTGGTTGTCGCAGTCGGCAACATTCCACCTCGCTTGTCGTTGGACAGGGGAGGTTCAACAACGAATCGATGGGCGGCATTTCGACAACCAGAGCAATCATGGGCGATGAGGCGCACATTGCGTTGGGGACGGTGGCTGGGAAGAGTTGTGTTGACATGGAGGGCAGTGTATGCTAGCAGGCCACTAACTGCGCAGACGCCATAGCGACCTGTCGGCGAGGGAGAATGTTCGTAGACGTGGTGACCAAGGCACAGCCTGCCGCGCTTGGCAAATCGATCGTACGAGGTGATGCTGCACCGCATGAGCACTACCGAGAGTGGGCCGAAGAGTGGCGGCGAGTTCTAGCGGAGAGCCATGGGAGGTTGCAGGTGTTCGTTGGCTGATACGTCCAACGTGCGACAGAAAGAGGAAATGTGCAATGCGGCGCACGAATCTGTCCAACTTAACTACCACGTGAACGACGGCGAAAGGCGTGTCACTCGCGTAACTTTGAAAACGACCTCCCGATCTGTCGCAAACAGTCCTTGCAACCGTTGCCACCTCACTCATGTGTGACCCCGATCAAGTCAACCCTTGAGGTGCTCGCTCCCACGACGGCTAGTAGGTCGTCAACTGCATAGAGCCGAGGAGGTGTTCGCTCGATCTGTCCTGGCTACCGCCCCCACGTCGTCGCAATTGCTCGACCCTCAGTGTAGCAACCGAATGGACACTCATACAAAACAGGCGCACGATTCCTGCAATATGCTTACTGGAGGCGGACAACTCATGCCGCCGAACTTCGGTTGAATTTGCGACGTATGCATGGGACGATCTGTAGTCCGGTCAGAATATGACGGGAACACCTCAAGCTCCGCGCCCAACGAGTTGCATTTCTTGGCAGGTCGGTCCGAGGGTCCGTCGATCTGCGAAACGTGTGTTTGGCACAGAACCTCCATGCGAACCACCACACAGGTGCGGAAAAAATAGCCTCGGCAACTGCACAAAGCCACTGCCTGATGGAACTTGAGTGCCGGCTGCGACAAACCATCGAGGTAATTCGTTTGAGCATTCCATTCGCAGCCCCTCATGCGCGAAAGAATTCTAATGATGCTGGATGCACAAACCGTGGCAGCATGCTAGAAATGTGGTTGCATGTATAAGCGGTGGGATTATCTTCGAGGAACGCCCTCCGACGCTAGGATGGACGAGCACGCGTAGTCGTTCGGGATTAGGTAGCAACGAGTTGGTGTTTACTGCCAAATCAAACTCCACGAAGCAATTGGTAGTACAGCACTCGCAGGTCATGAGTCTGGCAGAAGCAGAACGTTCCACCTCATCCGCCAGAATCACCCGATGTTGATCGTGTTCAAATGTTTGCCAAACGACGATGCTTATCGTACCAAATCAAGGATTTGGGTCATGAAACCAGTTGATTTGCACAACG